AAGGGGGGTGGGAGTGGTTTCCCCAAGGGGAAGTGAAAATGTTGCATCTGCAAGGAAAGGAAAACTTGGAAGTGGCTTGGGAGAGGAGCAGGGTTCAGGCCCTGAGAGGCTTTTTGCTCCTTATGCTCATCGTAGCTTGAGGTGGGGGACGCGTTGCCCAGCGTGTTCTGCCGTGAGAGCCACCACTTTGTATCGCAGCCGTAAGTTTTGTCCGAGTACTGTTCAATGTCAAGTGCACGTCTTCCCCCTCCCATTTACGCGCTCAGAGAAGCACCTTGCTGTCACAGAGGAAACACTAAAGGAAACATCGCTGTGTTTTGAAGTTCTAAGATAAAGTTTTGCTCAAGTTGTGTTTCACAGAAAAAAACCCAAAACAACAAAATAACTCAGAGTGACAGGATGTCTCCATCCAAAGAGCCCCACAAATGCAATCTGTAATTCATCAGAGCTCTAGGTTTGGTTCACGGCTCAAGGCACACTTTTATTCAGATTCAGCACACACCAGCTACGCACTCTTTGCTTCAAGGAGCCCAGTTCCCGAGGGAAACCCCACTCAAATCAGAGGGTGCATAGCAAATTTTTTTTAAATGCTATTTTGTTTGCTTAAAAACCATGTACAGGCACCAGAAGGAGGAATCCTTTGTTGCATTTGTTCAACATTTTGATTGCAATAAGGTTCTAGACCAAATGGGACAAATATCTTGCATGGGTGATGCTGCATCTCTCTTTCCTTGCGTTCTCAAGAGAGGGGAACTGGATCAAAAGCTGAACAACAAATCCAGGGGGAAAAGGCAAAAGCCAGAACTCCTGAGAACTTTGCATCATGTCTTTAATTTCCTGACGGTAACCAAACTCCCATCCATTTGTGGAGCAACCACCAGAGTGGGATACTAAACACACATGCTAGATAATATATATGTAATTGAAAGATAATATGCAAAAGTCATAGTGCAACATCTTAAAGCCTGGATGATTTTCAAATTACTTAAGCCTTCTTGTTCGTTTTTGTCACATCTTGAACCGAGTTCCTTATTTCATAGCCAACAGAAAATTAACTGCAAGGTATAAAAAAAACCCTGGCAGCCTAACAAATCAGCAGCACCTGCAAATCAAAGCATTAATGGAAAATGACAATTAATCTAATGGAGCAGTGAGTCAGAGAATGCTACATGGCAACAAGTCCAGAAAACTGCATTATGTGGAACAAGCTGCTTGGAATGTGCCCATGTATAAAGAAAGTGGCTTTTCTGCTAAGCCTAATCCTTCAAGAGAGCCCTCAGCTCTCCTTGAGATCCAGTCTCACTTCATGTATTCAATACTTCATGGGAGGGAGGGCAGGGGGGGAAAAACCCTTCAGATACTCAGTCTCGCCCATTTTTAAGTTTGATAGTGCCAGTCATAAACCTTTCAGCCATTTTTAAATATTTTTTTTTTCTAATTCAGAAACTATCAAGTGGAAAAAAACCCTAGAGTTTCATTTTGGTTTTAGGAAAGTTTATAGCAAGAATCTGTGCCAGATTCCAGTTCATGCTTCAAGCAAGAAAGATCCTCCAGCATGGCCTGGGGGACAGGACTTTCAGCTGAGATGGGGAAGATTTAAGACTGGGTTACGAAGCCAGCCCTTTTCTCGACTGCTTCTTTTGGAAATCATCAGCCTTGGAGGTAGGTTGGACCAGACAAAAAACCAACCAACCTGCATGGCTTGCCCATGAAATGAAAACCTTCTCTGAGCGATCCCAGACAGGAATTACAGTCACTCTTTGGAAAGGCTCCTCTCTTGAAAGGTGCCCGTGCCCCCAGCCAACACTGAGATCTTTCAAGCACTGGGCAAATTTAATGCCTGCGACAGCAAGGATTTACTGCACTGGGGAACGGGGACTTTGTCAGTGAACCCCCAAACCAGAGAGTTAAGCCAGATGCATCCTTCCAGTTTGCATGATTCCCCATGCTTAAGTGCAAATAAAAACCCCAGGTAACTGCAAACAACACATCCCAGCAAACAAACTTACTGAGGCATAGGGAGCTTGGTAAGGCAAGCAGCAACAGTACCATGGGGTGGAATAGGAAAACTGATTTTCAGAAGAGCATCCTACGCAATGTACAAGTAAACAGTGCTTCAGAGGTTAAATAAAGACCAAGTACTTGTGCAAAGGGCAAAACAGCTTTGGAGCAGGGCTCCCATAAGACAGCATACCCTTTAGACTAATATTGTGATTACCATAGTACATCCTAGGGTATTATGCAAATCTACAAAAACTATGCATGAATAATCAGCCGATTATGCAGCATTAGCTGCACAAAAACACCAACTTCTCCAGTCTTCCATCAAACAGGAAAACATGCAGCTGGCAGGAGAAAAGTTGACTTTCAAGGCGTTCAATATTTGTTTTTCAGAGCAAGTTACTGAAGCGGAGCATTAGGTGAGAGGGGACCCACAGTGGCAGCGGGGTGCCATACTCTGGCCCCCAAGGACAGCACTGCTACTCAAAACCTGAGGCATGATCCACAGGCAGACCCCAGCTCTTCCTGAAGGTGCTCTGGAGGAAGAATCCTTATAGCAACAGCAGAAGCTATAGAAAACCCGAGATCTTTCCAAGGTGGTACATGAAAGTTGCGCTGTCAAGTCTGTGATTTATTTAGAGTTCGGCATTTCTCCAAGCATGTGGTCCAACATTTAATTAAGGCCAGGACCTTCATCATTCAAGCACATCGCAGTGTTATTAAAAAAGCCCAAATGTCACCAACGCCAGTGATGGGATACTGGGTGTCTACAAGTCTTGCTTGTGAAATTTGGACTGTACAGGTCAGAACCTGACTCCATCAAGCTCCTCAGAAATTGTTGGTGCACAAGAATCACAGGGGGCAAGATCTGCGCTTACACTTTATAAAGGCCCTTGCACAGCCCCTCAGGGTGTACAGCCCTTTTACAGCGCTGTCCCAGATGTCATTTGTTCAGTGGCATAGGACACAACCCAGTAACCAGAGCTTGGTGTCCCAAAGCCTCCTGTATCCACTCCTGTTTCCTTAGGGCATCCTTCCTGCCCACATTAAAACCCCGGAGTACGGTGACAGCTTGGGCAGCCAAGTTTTGCAAGGCCCTAAGGACACAGACTTATCCACAAACACATCCACAGAAGTCCTGCTCTCAGGCACATTGAGTGGATGTTGTTCTTGCCATAAGGACAGAAAGCTCACATAGATGTAAATCCCACACGCATATAATCTACTCATTTGCTTTGAGCATCAGCGGTGGTCACAGCAGCCACCCTTACATTGCATTGCACCTTATAGCTGAAGGCTGCGTGTGCCTGAGGAGACACCTAGAAAATCCATCAAAACGATCCACCAGAAGACATAAAAACCTTATGGTTGACATTGCATTGCACCTTATAGCTGAAGGCTGCGTATGCCTGAGGAGACACCTAGAAAATCCCACCAAAATGATCCACCAGAAGACATAAAAACCTTATGGTTAAGTTACTGATGTGGGATTCAAAAGCCCTAGATTCATACGTTTCTGCTCTGGCATTTCCCTGTAAAAAAGGGAAAGGAAAAGCAAACAAAACTAAAATTACCACCTGTGTTTTCCCACCTGGTTGGTCTTGGGAAACAAAACACTCACCCAGGACTGGGGCCTTCTCGCACATCTCTTCTTAGTGCAATACCTGGCATAACAGATCCCAAGCCTTTGGACTGATCCCAGGCCACGAAATATGAAAGATTAATACCAAACCCTCTTGAAAAACTGCCCAACATTTGCTTGGAGGCAGCAGCACAATGGCAGGCTTGAGTAACGGGGTAGTTGTCAGCTAACGAGTCGTTCTAGCTCAGCCTGTGAAAGCGCTATGAGGAGCACAGCAGAAGTCACACAGAGATCAACAGCAAAACCCTTCTACGTAGTATTTGGGATCTCACCACATAAATAGAAACACCACAACCCAAACATCATTAGTTACAGAATTGGTTGGGGAGAAGAGAGAGAAAGAGGAGATGGGACACTTCGGAGAACATACTTGCTAAGATACATGCACCACCACAAGCAGTATCAAGAAAGTACCGGTAGGTTCGAGTAAAACGAGCCCTAGAAATTCAAAGCAAGTGTTGTTAAGGTATCATTGCAAAAACCCAGGCTTTCTCCACAGCCCGAAGTAAACAAATACATCCATTCTCAGAGCTACCTATAAGCAGGGATAGGAAAAAAAGAGAGCAAATCTTGTAAAATTTTTTATGCCGATCTATTAGCCCTGGGAACTCAGGTGTGAAGGAGGATGCTGGTGCAGAGCTCTGGGGCACTTAACAGCCCGGTGCCTCAGAGCACCTGTGCGGAGCGGGGAAGAAAAGCAGGAGGCAAAAATGGAAAATTTGGGATTAGTCACATTACAGGCTCCCTCCTTAACATCCCAAAGGCACAGACAACAGGTAAGCAGGCCCTTCTATAGAGACGTTACAAATGTATGACAACAACTGGGAAAAGAAGCAGAGCTTCCAGGTGCTACGGTAACACAAACAGCCAGGAAAAGCGAAGGAAAAACACCCACACACTTTGTCCTTCATAGACCTGAATACCAAAGCACACCTAGAGATGCTCTCTGCTGCAACAGCCACCCTCCAAAACAGCAAATCAACCTCCAGTGTGAACGTCATTATTTTGAAATTGGAAAAATTGCTGTACATGTTGTGTACACGTCTAAATGTCATGGCAACTTCCACCATCAGGCGAAGAGCAGCTCGTTCCAGTCCACATTAACCCAAAACGCGTGATCATCCCAACCCTTGCCTCAAATTTGTAACTGTTTGGGCACAAAGATTTTAAGTGGCATGAGGAGTTGAGGTGGGTGTGCAAATGCAACAGGGGTCACCCCAATTTTCCCTCTGGAAAACAGCAGCTTTGGGGAAGAACTTGGGAAACCAGACAGGGGAGGTTAGAGATTAAGGACACCGCAGACCAGGAGGTGAGGTGTAGGATGTTCGGGTCATACACACGCGCATTCCCCTCTTACCTGCTTCCATCAGCTGGCACTGCTGCCCGAAAACTTGCGAGAAGGTGACGGGGCCTGCCGCAGAGCTGGAGGTGACCGGAGAGGAGTCCATAGCTCTCTTCGGGTCCTTCGTGTTCGTCATGGGGCAGAGCCCAGCAGCCGCAAGGAGCCTCCTGTCCCCGACAGATCCTCAGCGGGCAGGAGGAGACCCCCACCGAGCACCGGTGCCTCTTCCCGAGCCCAAAGGATGCTCCTTTCTCGCTTTCCAAGGGAGGGTGACAGCGTGCGTGCTTTCAGGCGGGTATCATCAGTATTCTCCTCCAGTCCTGGCCCTGCCTCTTCCAGGAGTTTTGTGGTGTGTCCTAGGCAGGTCTGGGGGCCTCAGGCGCAAGCTGGCATTAGGCAGTGAGGCCTGACCCCTTCTGGGGCACCCGCCCTGCTCCCAGCGCACCAGTCTC